ATTCTTGCTCTCTCATAGAGTCATTAGTTTCCATTTGTCCAATTCTAGTTTTTAACAGATTGTTTTCTTCTGTTAGTTTTTGTACTTCCTTCTTCAATTGGCCAATTGTATTTTTAAGGGATTTGTTTTCTTCAGTGTACTTTTTTTCCAGTTTGCCAATTGTGTTTTTTAGGGACTTGTTTTCTTCAGTGTACTTTTTTTCCAATTGGCCAATTGTATTTTTTAAGGACTCTTCTACCTCTCTCATTAGACTTTTAAAATCCTTCTTGAGCTCTTCTAAGAAGGCTTTTTGGGCTTCAGACCAGTTCATATTCCCTTTTGATGTTGCAGATGTGGGTTTGTTGACAATGTTGTCCTCTTCAGAATTTCTGTCTTGATCTCACTCTTCTCATAATATGAATCTATGGTACGTTTCTTTTTACTCATGGTTTCTTTATTCCCTGGCCTTTAAAGAGATTGAGCTCTCCTGCTGGGGAACAGAGGGCACTGACCCAAGCTTCTTGTGTTGGGAGCCTAGGTCTTGGTCACTGGCTTTGTTTGGGGCCTCTTATGTTGGCAATTGGAGGCTGTAGGTTTTGGCAGCTTACCTGTGTTGGGCTGGAATCAGCAAGGCTGGAACTTTCAGGCAATTCTAGGTTGCCTGCTTTTCCTTTCCTTTAGCTTTCTTCAGCTCCTTTTAGATGGGTGCTGCAGGGTGTTTATCTGCCTGGGGCCCCTTGCAATGCTGCCTCCCTTGTTTCTGCTAATGCACTGGGAGATTCCTTTGCGGTAGAGTGCTGAGGCATTTGGTGGTTTTCTGAGCTGGTTTCCACTGGTTCTCCCTCCCTCACTGAGGCACTCGGAGGTCCAGGTGTTGGTGTTTGCGTGCTCTACCACCTAGGCTTCAGGATCTCCTCCTGGTTGACAGTTGGAAGCTGTAGGGTTCTGACAGCTTACCTGGTATTGGGTTGGAATCAGCAAGGCTGGGACTTTAGGAAAACTCTAGGTTGCTTTCTTCAGCTCCTTTCAGATGAATGCTGCAGGGTGCTTATCTGCCTGGGGTCCTTTGTAGTGCTGCTTCCCTTATTTTTGCTGAAGCAGTGGGAGACCTGTTTGCTAGGCTGATGCATTGCTGTTCCCCATCTTTCTTCTAGTTCAGCTGTTCCAGGTTTTTTTTTTTCTGGGGTGATATTTTCTGGCTTTTCAAAGGTTGGTAGGGGAGGGTGAGAGCAACTACCTTTTTACTCCACCATCTTGGCTCCCGGAAGCGGAAGCCCTAAATATATATTTTTAAAAATCATTAAAAAAATTTTTTCAGTTCCAAGGTCTCTCCCCTTCCCCCCACCCATTGAGAAGGCGAGCAATATGATACCCATTATATATGTAAAGTCATGCAAAACATTTTTTTATTCTAGTACACTCTTCTAAAATAGTTTATTGATAGTTTTTGTGTCTACTATTACCCACTTACTCTTTCCACCCTGCCCCAACAGACTCTTCTTTGTAACAAATAATAAATATATTTAAGCAAAAGATATTGGTATATTGACCATGTCTGGAATTGTCTCTCATTCTGCACCTGTAGTTCATTACCTCTCTGCCATGAAGGAGGAGACATGTTTCAGTAGCAGTTTCCTGGAGTCATGAGTTGTCCCCCACCCTTTTATTCCTGAACTTGATTCTAAGTAAACTTTATCAGCAACAGATTAAAACGGTCACTATATTTGCCAGCAGCTCAGTTACCCCAAGTGGAATAGAAGGATGATTACTTGGGAAAGCAATAAAGCCGGCCACTGTTTTTGTCAGCAGCATGACAGAGGGTTGTTAAGATGAAAAAGCAGCATCTTTACCTAATGGAGAGATTGAAATGGAAAACAGGGGCATCCCTACCAAGTAGCCCAATAGGGAAATGTCTTGCCTCATCCTTTGAGTCAATGACAGGAAACTATTCCAATTCTAACGATGTCCTGAGTCTCTCTAAGTCATTAGCCACGTTGATTATAATCACCAACCTTGATCAATGATAAAGTATCTGACATTATTTAGGGGGAAAAAAGGGATAAAGACAGTGCTTGGAACCTGTTGTTTCCCTATCTGATCTGGGAGATGGGACTTTTTTTTTTTTTGAGATGAGACTTCTGACAGAAGGAAACAGAGCAAGATGTATGATAAAATGTTGATCAGTGTAAGGAAGGATAATAATATTCCTTTTCTAAAAAAATTATTTTATTTTTAATTTATGGAATAAAACAAGCATTTCTGTAACGTAGTATGATAGAAAAGATGATTGCATATGAAACTGCACATCTACTACATGCAACTTGCTATTCTTTTTAAATATAATATAAGAAGGAATGCATTGTCAACCTCTATGCTTCTTTATTCCTCTGCACTAGATAGATTTACCTACTTGTGTTTGTTTACCTGTGGACTCAGGTCCAGCCACATCTGGATACTCATTCTAGCCCTGGGAAGCAAATAAAGAGGCTTCCTCACTTGTCTGGATATTAGGCCTCATGGTTGCTCCTGGTAGTGTATTAACTGACTCTTACTGGGTTCAATTCACTTCACACTCCAAATTATGGCCTATTTGCATGAACATTGGATCTCCTGCTTTTCTCTGACCTCAGGTATCTGTGGTCACCTCATTTCTGTTTACTTGCCTGGCTGCTCTTCCTATTTAATGTGTGCCATGCTTCCCTAGTCATAATCCCTACCCTGTCCTTTCAAAAACTCCTGCCACCCATGAGACAGCTGTGCCCTACTTAAGTCAGCCGTTCTGGGGGGCCATGCTTTATTCTCTGCCCCAATTTCTCCTTTCCCCTTATTTACTTATTCTACTGTGTCCCACTCCTAAAGGAACTGCTCCTAGTTGTCTACCTCATTGGAAATAATTCTATAAAATCATGCATACTGGGCATTAGTGATGTTTTATTTTAATGTCCTGAGAAGTATTTTATTATAATCATAATGAGTTATTTTCCAGTAATAACAAAAACAATCACATTTTTAAGAATTAACCTATATAAGATTATAGAGGATAGATAAAAGATGGAAAGCTTATAGAAGAGACCTTATAAGCATTGTATAGTTAGTATAGTTCAGGGGTTCTTAACCTGAACTTGTTTTTTTAAAATTTATAACTGTATTTCAATAAAATTGTTTTCCTTTATAATCATGTATTTTATGTTATGCTATTCTTTTTGTTATTCTGGGAACAGATCCATAGGCTTCACCATACCATCAAAGGTTAAACTATCTAGTTTAAACTCCTTCAATGTACAGGTGAGGATTTTCTGGACAAGAGAGTGAAATTACTTCTTCAGGGTTAGCTGGTAGGTAGTAGAGAGCCCAGATTCTCTGATTTCAAATCTGATATTCTTCCCACTACATTATGCTGGCTGTATTTGTGTAGAATTCTGGTTTCTATCTAGGGATCAAGAGTTGGCTTTGGAGTCAGGAAGGCTTGGGTTCAAGTCTTGCCTCTCACATATACTGGCTGTATGATGCTGGGCAAGTCACTTGACCACTACGTTCCCCTAGGCAACTCTCTAAAGCTAAAAGTTGCACAACAGTTGCTGATCTACATTTGTGAAGAGATTTTCCTCACCAGGAATCACAGGTTGCAGATCTACTCTTTCGCCCTCCCCCCCCAAATATTCTTAAACTAAAGGAACCTGAATGGGAAGAGAAAGGGAACAAGCATATATTAAGAGTCTACTATGTGCAGGGCACCATGCTAAATGCTTCACAAATATTATTTCATTTGATAAGGAAGGTCAGGAGGAAGATATCGTGGGACAAAGGTACCTTCTTAGAAATCCTTACATCTGTAGGTGGCTACCCATATTGCCTGAGTGTGGTCCTGACTGGGTTTTATTCTGAGTACTTGAATAACACTGATCTTCCTGAACTCTCTAGATTCATCCTAAGTTGAGAACCAGTAGTCACCTTTGACATTATCCAATCTCTTTATTTTAGAAAACTGAGGTCCAGGGACCTGTGGTTCATGGTTTCACCACTAAGCAGTAAGACTTAAAATAAAGGTTGTAGAGAGGACACTGAGGGCCGCAGTGGTTGAATGACTTATATAGGTACACACAGCTAGTAAGCAAGATAGAATTTGAGCGTTAATCCTGATTCTCTTTCTCCTAGAGCATCCCACCTGTCACTCTGCCTGTGATGCTAGGAGCATGCCTTCCACATGCTGGACTTTGGCCAACATTACTCCCTTATATAGTGGCAGAAATTCTTATTTCTACTCTGCGTTCCTTTTTCCTATCTCGTTTCTGTACAACAAAATTAAATCAACAAATATTTTTGAGTGCCTACTATCTGGTGTGTTTCTTGTTTTAGCAATACAAAATAACCACATTCATGTGATCAATGTGATACTTTAAGGGTTTGCAAAACACTTTCGATCTTCAAAGAGCTGTCAGCCTTCAAAGAATTTTAATTATTGTGAAAGACAGACAAGTGGAAGGTTAATTGTATAGGATTTAAAGAAATTCAAGATGGCAATGGAAAAAGTATATTACAATGTACAACAAAAATTTATTAAGCACAAACCACACGTAAAGCTCTGTGTCATGTAAAGAATACAAAGAAAAAAACAAGCTCAGCCTTAAATTCAAGAGGGTTTACATGCTATGGCATAGTATACATTTGCAAAGTAGTGTATCTTTAGTTGCCAAATGAATTATACAGCTAATCATTACTGGAAGAGCTTCGAGGAAGGAGATCACTCTACTTTCAGTAAGAGATGACTTTACAAATGAGAGCAGTAATAAAAGGTAGGGAAGAGTTGGAAGGGTGGGGAGAGAGATTGTTAGTTTTAAGTGCAGAGTTTCCAAATAGACTCCATTAGATTTGCCTCAATAATATGTATGATATATATTCTCTTTTCTCTTGGGGTTTCTTCGAGAGGGAGGAGAGGACAAATGCATCTCATAATGTGTGCACTTTCGTTGTTTTTGGGAAACCATTTGGACCTATGTTTTTGTTTTCCCTTTTCCTTTTAGCATGGTGTTATTGCTACAGAAGATGAAGAGTATTTTATTGAGCCTTTAAGGAATGCTACAGAAGATTCTAAACACTTTAGTTATGAAAATGGCCACCCTCATGTTGTTTACAAAAAGTCTACCCTTCAACAAAGGCATCTATATGATCACTCCCATTGTGGTGTTTCAGGTAAGCCAGCATTTAGCATTTTAGGAACATAGGTAATGATCCCTTCCTCCTTTATTTGACTAATAATTGGTTAGGTGTTCGACTGTAGCTTTATTTTAGTGCCCCACAAAGTATTTTATTATAATCACAGTGGGTAATTTTGTAGCAACAACAGAAATGATTGAATTTTTAGGATTTGACTTATCTAAGAAGACATAGGGCCTATAGAAGGACAGCTATAAAACTATAATGACCAAAATACAGGAGGACCTAATTAATCGAGTAGACATTGCCGGTTCATTAATGGGTCAGATTGATGTAGTAAAATTGGCTGCCCAAATTAATTTATGTATTTAATGTATTATCAAAGTGCCAAAAAACCTCTTTATGGAATTAGATAAAACTAAAATCAAATTTATATGCAATCACAGTAGGTCATATGTTAAATCCTTTTAAAAGTACTGCTGTTTACTTACTCTTGGAAAGTAGCCCTTTTTGCTTTGAACTGAAAACTATTAAGATTTGCTTCTTGGATGACGCATAGAAGATGTTTAGTGAGAATTTCATAGTATGTATGTAAAACTTTATAATCAAATCACTGGGGACTCAGGTTTGGGTGATCAAATTTCTTTACAGACCTGGGAGGAAATCTTGTTTTATTCATGTGTTGGGACATACTTGTAATACACTAATGATACGTAGGAGCTGATTTCTCTTTCATTCCTGTACTGAGGCAAGGGTGTGTTGAGTAAGTTAGATGCAATTAGGCCATCCTGGTACATCAAGCAGGGTCTGAGGGATCAGCAGTTAGGTAGGGCCACAGGATTAGGCAGACACTCAAGGTCAGAGCAGAAGGGAGTCAGACAAGCCTTAAATTGTTTGTGAAGATCTCAGATATCAAGGTGGGTAGAGGTCCAGAAGGTCAGTGGCAGTGGTGGCAGCAACAATGAAGTCAGTCTATTCCTTCTTTAAAAGTGTTTGCCCTTAGGGGCAGCTAGGTGGCACAGTGGATAGAGCACTGACCCTGGATTCAGGAGGACCTGAGTTCAAATGCAGCCTCAGACACATAACACTTAACTAGCTGTGTGACCCTGGGCAAGTCACTTAACCCCATTGCCTAACCAAAAAAAAAATAGCATTTGCCCTCTTACCTCTTTTTATGGGTCTTGATAGCCATAGATGGCTACATAGCGCTCCCTGCTCTAATTCTATGATCTGATTTGATCCTAAATATGCACAGGTGGAAATTGAAGGCACAGGAAAAAGCTGAGGCCTATAAGCATACTTGGATTCTGATGGACAAGGGAGAAAGGGGCTAGGACCATTGGGAGCTCTTCACAATGTGACCCCTCCTGCTAGAGAGTTTTTCTCTAGTTTGGGGAGCCAAGTTTGTTGGGCTAGGTGCCATGGAGTTCCTAAGGCATTTGCTGGAGTATCTACTTGTGTCATGAGCTTCCAGGATGTAACTTTTTTTAGTGCTACCAGTGTTGTGCTGGTAGAGATTTGTTAAATTTTCAGTGTGAGCATTTACACCTTAGAAATTGGCAAATGCTGCGAATCAGGGCTTGATTTACTGTTATTATTTTTTGATTGTCTAGGCTTAAGAAAGTGATGCAGAAAATGTTAATAATACAGATTAAACTTTAAAAGTATGTCATGCATACATTTTTTTTTCCTAGAGAGTCAGTTGTTAAAATTTTGCCAGCACATGACTGTATCCCTACTTCAAGTTGGTGAAAGAGTGCAGATGATCTCATGTCCTCTGAGAGTCAAAGATTCTTCAAACATTGTAGACTTTCTGAAAGCTGTATTATTTGATCTAGGAAGGGATTGTCCCAGTGGACCTTGCATTAGGAAACACAGAACAGTAGATGATTTTGAGGAAAGAGCTTGAAGCTCTTAAAACTTAAAGAGATGTTATACAATCGAAAAGGGATGATAATTTCTATTGTCAGTACTTTCTAAGGGTAGGTTGATATAATGGTGATTCAGAAACAGACATCACTTGTTCCTTTAGGATCATGCTTGATTTTTCTTTAGCTGATGGGGCACTTTTGTGTAAATAGATGGTAGGCATCTGGTATCAATAGGGACTAGTTGTGAAAAGATAGTACACTTATCCTCCTGACTTTGCCTTTGGTTAGGGCTAGGGATGGGGATGGAATCTGAGTTGGAGTGGAGCTAAAAATTATTAAATATTTATGTAAGCTGTATGTTTATAGCTTAATCTCCCTGGTTGGGGGAATGAGGAAAGGCCTTAACCAGTAGGCTCTCACTGAGGGATGGCCTAGAAGCAACTGAGTTGGGTAATGAATCAGAGTCATGGACATAGGGTGCCCACCTGAGGGGCCAAATGTGATGTCCAGATTGAAAGTAGGTTCAGTAGGTAAAACAGAGCCTGTGGTAATATGTGAAGATGTATGGTCCACGAAAAGGCAGCAGAATTAAATACTGATAGCAGTGAAGGCCTGCCTTCTGTAGGAAGTTTATTCCATTTGCTGCATTCAACTTATTTCAGGCTTATGTTTATTTTTATGGGATCCTTTCCCTTAGCTTCTTCCAAATCCACTGCAGCTGGACAGCTCCCACCACTGCCTGCATTACTGTCCATGGAAATGACTGTCTTTCAGTGGACAAATAGGTGTGTAGATAAAAACCATAACTGACCTAGAAGGAACTGTACTGACTTAAAATATGTGCATGGTGGCAGTGGGTGGTTACATTCACATTCAGCTAGTGATAACTGAGAAAGCCATTTGCTTTTTCTGGTACCCCAGAAAACCCCTGAAGGTCTGGTTTATCCGCATTTTTTGGAGGGGAAACTAAATGGCTTTAGTTTCCCAAAAGCCTTTTCCCAAAGGGAATACATTAGAGATTATGGTCTGAGAGATGCTTTGGAGGAAACTTTACTATAGGAAGAGGTAATCTTGAAGGAGTGGTACTATCTGGAGGGTGTAGGGTAAGATTGTAAGTTGGAGGGCTTGTAAGAAGCTGAAGTGGGCCATATATGCTGACAACTACTAAGATAATGCTATAAAGCTGTTATGGAAGGAGGTTAAGAAGGGGGAATCTAGGAGTTCAGATGGCTCAAGGCAATAACCTAGTAGCAAAGAAAACCATGAAAGTAATCCAGGAGCCCCTTTTAAATTTTTTAATTAAATATTTCCTTAAAAACAACATCAATACAATCAACAAAACTTTAAGAAACTACTTACATGTGAATGAAAACATTTAAAAAATTTTTTTTATCTTTTGTTTTTGTATTACCTTCATTTCCAAATGTATCCTTCCCCCACTATGCCCAGACAGCCATTTCTTATAACAAAGAATAAAATAAAAAGGAGAGTGAAGCATTTCAGCAAAACTGATACCTCACCTAAATCTAACAGCATATATGTTGTTCAATCCCCACAAGACTTCACCTCTGCCAATAGATACTCTGGGTCAAAGAATATGATCATTTTAGTCACTTTATTAGCTTAACTTCAAATTCTAGAACAGGTGGACTAATTCAGAGCTACACTACCAATGCATTAATGTCTTTTCACAATCCTCCAACAGTCGACTATTCTCCCTCTTTTTTTGATTATCTTTGACTGTTTGCTACACGGAAGGTGAGACCTCATTATTTCAAGCTGTATTTATCTTCTTAGTGCTGTGGGGAATTCATTTCTATGGTTGTTAATAGTTTGCAATTCTTTTGATAACTTCATATATTTTGACTCCCTTATCTGTGGGGGAAATGTTGGGTTTTTTTTTTCTTACATTCAACAAACATTTATTATATGCCTACTAAGCTAGGCAATGAAAATACACAGAAACAAATAGTTCCTGCCCTCAAGAACCTTAAATTCTACTGGTGAATACAAAAGTCAAACAAGGCAAATTTACTATATTTGATGATTTGAAAAGTGAGCACCGACAACCAGAGGGACCATTAAATATGAAAGTTCTTCGGCAAATAAAAACCCTATTCATGTGTTGTCCTGTTGTAATAATAACTATAAACCCAAGATTCAGACCCACAACTTTGATTTTACAAAGATTGGGTTCAACCTTGGATGCAGGTTACAAATGTACCATTTGGTTTTTGTTCAGACTCAAGGTGTCTCAAAAATTAGAATACAGTCCGTGTACACTTGTGCACAAGTACTTTTGCACCAGCACACAGCAGAAAAAGGATATAATGATAATAAAGAGCAAGTTTTGGGTTTGTGATAGGCTTTGTCTCTTGCTGCTCGTTAGACCAAGCATTCAGTAGAGTCCACCAGGAGGCCTGGTCAAAGAAATTGTTTTATTCTCTCCAGGCGGTTTCGTCCAAGAAGCCCTTTGCTAAGAAATCCTCAGATGAAGTCCGTAGTTCCTTTCATCTTTAAAGCTTAGGATTCCTTTCTGAAATATTTTAAAAGCTACCCTTGAATGCCACAAAAATTGTCTTGCCTCCAGCGTGTATTAGTCTGCACTGGCAAAACTTCTCTAAACAATGCCTACAGCCATAGCCAATATTTTGTCCCATCTCCCATCTTTAAACGGGTCAGGCAGGTGCTGCAGTAACTGCACACTCTACGATCTTTTTTTTTTTCTTACCTCTCCCCATCCCACCTCCCAGCACCCACCCCCTCTTCTTCCCCCCCCCCCAAGTTTTATTTATCACGAAAACCAAGGCGGTTGATCCCTGGGAACGTTGGGGCTGGCGGGCGGGCTCAATCCTGCAGCTTCGTACGGGAAGCCTCCGCGTTGGGCCGAAGCACCGCTCCCGGGGAAGGGGACGGCCGCTGCTGGTACAGGCCTGATGTCTGCGCCCGTCCTGGCCTCGTTCTTCTTGGGGAGTCCCGTGGCCCGGGTGCCCGAGTACGTGCTGGGGTCTGTGGGACCCAGCTCTTTCTCCTTGCGGCTGGCTCTCTTGCTCTTGGGGTAGGGGGCCAGCTCCTCCCGGCGGTGGCAGCGCCACTCTTGGGCCTCGTGGCCACGCTCCGGAAATTAAATAGCAGTGTAAGGTATCATACTTCCCCAAGGCCGGG